CTATCTTGACAGAACTGTTTTGGATTTGCTATTCGTGACACTTATAACCAAGTTGAAGGTCTTCAAAAAGCGGTGGCCTTTCCGTAAAACTTCTCAGCATGCGTGTGATTCGTATATGGAAATTTGCGCAGAATATGTTCGAGGCTCAGCATAAAGCAGTACTTGCGGGACTGAAAAGTCAGCGTTGAGCTGTGAGATTCCATTAACAGAAACTGCAAGTCGTAGGCTAAACCAGGTGTTCTGATGCTTCATTTCAACTGCACGTGAAGCAGCTACCAGAGATAAATAGGGCTCCCATTTGTTTTACTGTACTTTGGGTTAATACTTTCGAGGGTATATACATATAATGTTGGAACTAAGAAAAAAGTAGGTAAAAACAAAATTAAAAGTAAAAATAACAAACTTTTATTCATTTAATCCGATATGTCGTGGGAGCCTCAAAATACGTCAGCTGTCCTGTGCATTACTGTTGTCACAAGCGTTGCAGGGAGTCCCTTCAGAATACAATTGGTAGTTATCTTCAAGTGGGGTTTTTGGCGCTCCGCTAACACCGGCTTTGGAAAGTCTAACTCTATTTTAGTTCCAAATCATCATGTAGATAGTCGGCATCAGCACTGTAAAAAGTTTCAGTATGTTTACAAAAGAAAGTAAATCAAATTTTGAGCAGGCAAGTTTGGCGGGGTAGGCAGTGGTCCCGAAACAGAAGAAAATTGCACGTTTTTCTTTAAACTGCAGTGTAAATTATGAAGGCTTCTTGTAAGATACCCGAGAACAACGGCATAGGGATTTGTATTGTTGTCACATACACTTCAAGCCTGGGAAAACGAGATACTTTCAGGTGTGATATTATGTTGTGTTCTTCGTGTATGAATTCATCGGTTTCATGAAGACTTCAATTGAGGAAGTTGAAAAACTACAAGTTTGCAAGTGGTAGTGCAATACAGTTTACTGATATGTCTTTTAGCTTTTCCACAGGTAACATAGACTTTTCGAATAGCGACAGCCGTGTAAGAACGCTCATTAAGGGCTGCACACTAGGGAACCCGTCGTCTAAATAAATATTTTACTTTCAACTTTTATTTCTAGAGATGCTTTCTACAGGCTGATAAAAGTATTTTATATTAGATCTTTAGCAGGAATCTAAGTGGCAGTTTGGTGAAGTGGCTTCTTACCAATGAAGCTTCTCCCTGTTTTTGACTGGTGGTATTGCTTGAACCGCAAAATTATGATGTGCTTTTTGCAAATTGAAAGTTTCTGCTCAAAACAAATTTGGGCGAGGTTTGTGCGTTATGCACAGTTTTAAAAAATTTATTTACTCTCGTTTTGTTCCTAGTTTGCTGTCAAACCCGGTCAGAACTATGCGGGAAGGTTTTTGGAATTTACAACAATTTTTCAGCTCGTGTACAGTACATGTATGAGCTCCTTCTTGACGGGTATGGAGTTACGGCCAAGGCAATCTTCACGGTTCCGTCACGCCAATGGCGACTTGCAAGGCTTATTATAGAAAAGGGCTTTCGCATTCTTAACAAGGCTCTGGTGATGTAGCTTGCTTCCAGAACAGTAAGCAAAAATGTCAGGTAAGCTTCTACAAATTTTCCACCCCGCGTGGCTGGTGTCTCGTGTGGTTTCAAATGGAAAACCGCACAGGTGCATCGGTGGCAGAAAGGAGCTTCTTAGAATAACAAGAAGACCACGCTGTAACTTGTACTGTTGTTGAGCGATAGGAAGCACATTTAGATCTGTTTTTACAGCAGAGATGATTGGTGAAAAGGTAACGATCTTTTGCATATCATAACAATTATTGGAAAAAAAAAATACAAAATCAATTGCTATAACAAAACTCCCTCCTAGGGATGCACCGCTAAATGACAGTTTACGTGGCTTGTGGAAATCTTTTTCAATTATTTGGGAGCTTTTTACTAATGGTTTCACTAAGTCGAGTATCTTTTATTGTTCACATTGCTTATATTAATGATTAAGCGGCCCACAAAATGTAGTAAGTAGTCAGGATAACCTGGAGACCGGAAGGATGTAATTACGATATTGACGAGTGACAGAAGTAACACTGCTCTAGTGGTGCAAACTTTTACAAGTACTGGTGGGGTATTCAACTTTCTCAAGCCTTCAGCGAAATTGTTTGTTGACTGCACTTTCGCCGTTTTCCAATGGTATACTTCAATTTCGAAACTGTAGTGGAAATATGCTCATATCGTGAAGGCATAAACTGCCAAATTCCCCAGTTCGTCGTGTTTTCCTGACTACTGTAGTTTTTGAGTGAAAAAGAAATCGCTCGTTACAAAACGCATGTTTTTTGCCGACAGCAATAGCCGCAGACAACGAAGTTGATGTGATCATGCGGGCTGGGCGTCGTGTCCTTCTCGTTTCTTCTTTGGTTTTGCTTCGCTTGTACTTTACTGATCTCAGTTTGTTCTCAGTTCAAGTTAGAACATATATTCTTGTTCATTTTCTTTCTCTGATACAGTTCTTCGTAATAGTTTCTGTATGTAAGGCATTCAAGGGGTTGAATGTGTTTGAACCGACGGAAAAAAATAGTGAATTCAAAGTTTATTAGTAGACGCAAACAGCGGTTAGGTTATCACTGGTTTTAGAACATTAAAGCCCTGTATGTCAGTAGGGAGGGGCAGGTGAGTAGTATCTGTTATCAGTAGCCTAAATTTTGTTTTTTCAATGTGTGAAATTTTTTCCCGAAACTTTGAGGTTCTGCAGCTGAAAGTCAGTGCTTAATTTCATGTATATTATCAACGAAGTTTTCTGCACGAATATTCTCGGGCAACCTTGCGTCAACGAATAAAAAACATTTCTGTCTATTTTTGTAAAAGTTTTTTTTGAGTTTTTTGAAAGATTCGCGCTTTTGCAGTGTCTTTTGTTACTTTTTTGCGCTTCTTTGCCTAAAAACATATCTTGACTTTTTTGACTTCGTTTTGTTTAGGATTAAAAAATCCCGGCTTTTGCCTTATCAACCTGTGCCGACCAGTAGCAGTTGGAAAAGTGCGACGACTAGTTGAATAGGTATTCTATTCTTATGTAGTCTCATGTAAATTCTCCTTAACGAAGGCAGATTATAAAGAAATTTGTGTAGAGAAGTTTTCTAGTACACTGTTTTCTTCACTTGTATTTTTATTGGCAAGCGCACATTGATATGACTCACTGCTACTTTTACGACTTACCACCGAATTTTTTTGAGATCATAGGTTCTAGTTTTCTTCTTACTTGATTTATTCTTGGCGGAAGCTCATTTTTGAAATCTCGATGAACTTTTTTCTTCCAGAAAAGTTTCTGTTTTCAGTTTGTTATGGTATGCGGCATGTTCGTTTGTGAAATTTGTTAATTCATTATCATGGGATCGTATGCAGACTGGGTGGCCTTGAAAGTTTTAACAAATGAACCTCATTTAGTTGATGAAATTATTGATCTTGTTTTGGTTTGTTCTTTTTTTTTTCCTGGAGATGTCTTCGTTTTACTGACAGGCAAGGATTGCGTAACTGGTTTTTGTCTAGTAAACCAGTGCTGGAATCTCGCTCTTTCAGACTTTTTCCTAACTGCTGAATTAATAAAGTTAATGGATTTGTGTTTTCAGAGTATCCCAACTTATTGTGAAAATCGCATTGAAGTCGCTGAATCTCAACAAATCAACCAATATGATATCCATGGATTAAACGATCCAACAGTAGAGCTTTCGTTTGATGTCTGTTGTTATTTTTAAGAATCGTTGAATATTCATTTTAAGTTGAAGAAGCAACTTGATTTTGCAAGTTATACGTGTTTACCATTTAATATTCGTTATTTTTCCGTTCGTGGCTTATGAATCTTTCATCTCAGGGTCCACTTGCGAAGAATTCATTATGCTTCCACTAACTGACTTGTTCAGGTGCGTTGTAACTCATGGAGACGCTCGCTTCTGGAATTTTGTACAACATTCCAAAATTTGTGTTTATATAGAAAGTTTCCATACAATTCTTCACCAGTTTTGATAATCCACGAACGCACGTTATATGGCGAAGACTGCTGGTAGGGCTCTTTTTTAGTTCGGCTATCAGTTCTGCTCTGAACTGCTTATTCCCTGCAAATTTCAGGCATTAGAAGTTGCAAGTTTAAGTGACGTATAACGTTGCTTTCTGAATCATAAAGTTAAAGTTTATCAACTATTATAGAAGTAATATTTTATGGCTTCGAAATTTTGTGAGAATAATTTGTTGAAAATGCAGGGATGAAGTTGAAGTAGACAAGATTGAAATTTTGTTGGTAGAAGATAAATTCAAATTCGTAGCTAGGTGAACGGAACGTTACCACTCAACACTACTTTTGCAGCCCCGCACAACCGGGTTTCTCGCTGTCGTCGCTGAGTTTTGGAAACCTTCGGGAAACCGGGTTATTTTTGTCACATTTTACCAGAAGGCCTAACCGTCAGGATACTGAGGTAGTAAAACGGTATATGCTGGGGAGTTGTGGAATGTTTGTGGATTTTGAGCACGATCGTGGATCATTCGTGGTTGTTTTTGGAGCATTTGGCGGTATTTTTTACACTCATTCTGTTATTTTCAAATATGTTCTGAATTTATAAATTTGTCTATTTCTTTTAACTACTAGTTTTTTTGTCAAATTTACTTTTTTAACTTAAACATTGTCAGAGAGACCTTCTATGACAGACCAGAACCGTGAAACTAAAGGCAAAGTTCAGCAAATAAACGGATGCTTATTTACGGTTAAGGTATGTGAACATCATAACTTAGTTACAGTGTCGTTTCGGTTAGTGTATTTATAACATCAATGTTTAAAAGTGCTCTGCTAGTTAGTCTATTGTTAGTTTTCTAGTGCAGTTTAGCTTCGCTGTCAAGGTGTTATCCTACTTCTTAATATGTTTGCGTACAGCATAATGGAGTCAGCGCTGCATCTCAGAGTTAAATTTTTTATTTGGCTGTTTTTGTTGAAATTTGTAGAAGCTAGTGAATTTCCATTGGTGACAGGGATCCTACTGGAGGCATATGTTTTTCAAATTTTTGAGCTTAATACAGTTTAGGTGATGCTGTACTAGTTAATCTTTTCCGCGGATTTTTAGGTCAAATATGAATCTATCCGTCGTATCATTGTTGATCTGCTCTATGGGGAGGATTGTGTTAACATGTTTATTCTCCTTAATTACCCTCCAGATCTTAGAAGGCTTCCTTCGAAAGTCGTTGACAGAGATTTTCATTCTCGAGAACGAAGGCGGTAAGTTTTTTTATTTTGGTTTGTGATAAAATGAAACATCTGCGCTTGTGTGTTGAAAGTTTTAAGAAGTTTTGTCATTTATTTGACTATTAGAACCACTAAAAGTTGAAAAAATTTTTGGTGGTTTAGTTCAGTTCCAGAAAGAGCAGGTATCAATGGTGAACCAAACAGGCACGATAATTGTGCGGCAATTAACGACAGTCCGATGTTGTGCTTAAGTTTTCAGCTCCCATTTAATGTTAGTTGTTTTTTGAGATGCTTTTTCCACTACTTTTTTTGGTAGCCGTGGGTAGTGATAATTTCATGAAGACTTTTCAGTGGGATGAGTTTTATGTTTTAATTAGTCGCTTAAATGCAAGAACGCGGATACCTATTGAATTCTCCAATATACGCTGCAATTATTTTGATGTCAAAAGGTTTTTTCAATTTCTTTCATTCAAACGATTCTTTGTAAAATGGCAGTGGAACTTATGACCTGTTTATGCAATACTATACAGGTACTGTGCGATGCCTGTTAAACTAATTGGGACGGACTACAGATCTCGTGCAAAGGCACCAAATAAAACTGAATACCAACCCCATATGCCAAGAGTGGATGACTTCTGGTCTTCTAAACTGCGAAAGACGGATTTTGCATTAGAATATTTGATTGCAGCCCTTCTCTCGCGCGGTGCAGTTGTCAAAGATCAAATTTTGGTGAGGAGTCATGTAACTGCTTGTAAATTCTGGTATTATTTTGAAAGCCTGTGATCATGGGCAAAGAAGTAACAGTTTTTTTTACCAAAGAATTGTCTATGAAGAAAATGGTTTCAACCACTTTTTCAGATCAAAGAAGAGGCAAGAAATAAATTTTTGGAACTTGTACTGAAAGAGTATGGACGGAAACCAGAAGTGAGTTTATGTAGAGCTTCAAGTATTGGGTCCTTGTATTAGTTAGCTCTCTCTAGTTTTGCTTTTTATTAAGGATCTTTTAAGTTTGTTCATTATTGTTTTTCTGCTGCTTCTGTAAATTCTTGAAGTAATCTCATTATGTTTAGTTGGCTTTAGAAGGTTTAGAACGGCTTCTCAATTTTGTTGATGAAACGAAACAAATTAGTTCCTTAATCGCGGCATATGAAAAAATAATGAATAATTTGTGGAATAATCATGAAACTTTTCGTGACGTACTTCAGAAGACTGAAGATGGCAGTTACACACGAGTCAGGAAGGCAGTGTTTTACTTCTCTCTGATTTATTCCGTTAGATTATTCCTTAGAAAGTTCTTCAGTTAACCCTTTTTATTTAAGATGATTGTTACCCCTACGCGTACTCTTCTTGTTGTTCCTGAACTTTTAATGGGTAACAGAGTGCTACGTATGTTTGATGGCTCAGGGTATGGTGCGTTGCGAGTGCAGTTTCGTGATGATGACGGTACCAAATTAAGGGTCAATAATGCAGGGAATTTTCTTATTGACACCACCGTTCACAACACATTGCTGCATGGTGTTTATATATCTGGTATTGACTTCTTAGGCTTTATATTATATCGCTTAACACAGCTGTTCATTTCTGTTAAGCAGGAGATATTCCTATTCAAGTGTTTCTTACTTTGTTTCTCCTGCAGATCGTCACTTCGTCTATCTAGCGTCTTCAAATTCGCAGATGAGAGATAACGGTTGCTATTTTTTTGACGATGGAGAAGGAGGAGAGGGACAAGGAGGACAAGCACAGAAAATCAGAGAAAGCCTTGGGAAATTTGATAAGACGAACATACCAAAATTGATGTCACGAATAGGGCAGTGTTTTACACAAGCTGAGGTAAGCGTTTCTGTGCTATTTCTCTGAATTTTAGAGGGCATTGTTAAACTACTTTCTTTTTGTTTTTAGCAGTGTGATGAAAAACTGGAAAGGGGAAAGTATAATAAAGTTCATGATTTTATTGGAGGCAAAGATGCAAACGGTGAACCATATACTTTCTCGGATGGCGTCGGGAAAATGTCTTATAAATTTGCATCAACTATAGCAAAAAAGATGGAATTGGGATCTTGCGTACCGAGCTGCTTTCAGGTGCTGATGCTTCCCTGCATACTTCAGTTCAGTTTATTTAAATTATTGGTATAGTGGTAGTTTTTTCGTTTTTAAGTTTTAGGAAGAGTAGATCTCGTCTTGTTTTATGCGTTTCTCATTCATTTTTCAGGTTAGATATCGTGGTATTAAAGGAGTACTGTCGGTTGACCCGGCAATGGATGAACGTCACGAGTGGGCCAAGAAGAACTGCGTGAAGGATACAAAGAAACTAATTGAAAAAACTCTTTGCTTAAATGTCTTGTTTCGTCCCTCACAGGTTTTTTATTATACTAGACTTGAAAAGTTTTGTTGAAGAGCTATGTTTACAGAATTGGGTGGCATAAAGTAACCTGTAGTAACTACTTTTGTATTTTTGGATTTTTTGCAAATACATTGAAAATTGTTGTCGCGTTTTGCGGTTTTCTGTAGTTATAATGTTTTAAGTGAGATCTATGCATTTTATCATTAGAAAGTATTACCGATTTCACTGAATGTTCAGTTTCCTCAAATAGCCGTCAATTTTAGTATTTTTCAGTTTTATGGCTAAATTTATTTTATTTTCGAGTTCTGTTACGCTTCATTCGTCATATTACTTCCAATTTAAACTCAGGAATTTTCTCTCTGCTTTTAGGATCATTTTAATAGGCAAATGCAAAAACTCTCTACTAATTTAAAGTGATTGTGGTCAGTGATACGATTTCAGGATAAGTTTAGCGCTCCAAGAGCAACGTACATTGATATCGTAAAAATTTCTTCACCGGTTCCTGTTTCTTTAAATCGTCCGTTAATCTGTATTATGGACCAGGTATGAACTTTTCACTTTTGGAGTAATTAAACAGCAATGCCATTTTTAATTACGATAGTAGTTACAAGTTGCACTCAGAATTTCCTTGGAAATGGCTAATTGTAAATTTATTAGTTTCTGAAAAATGAACCTGAAATATGTTTTGCTTCACTTTGCGGAGCTTTTTGATAAGTTGGTTATTTTGAAACTATAAATTTTGAATTCTTAGGTTCCTTTGTTAAGGTTAGTGAAATGCAAGGTTACGAACTACATAAAAGGGTTTGCGGACGCATTCATTCCCTTTTGGATCGCCAGTTAATGCAGATGGCAGAAATGTTAATGAGTGAGGACAGGTTTGTTCAGTCTTAAAAACATGTTGGTCACTTATTTTTAAATATTCATCTTCACTAACTTTTGTCTTAAAAGGTCATTTACCTACCGTTCTTTCGTAATTTAGTTACCGTGTTTTCTTTCAGAACTAATTTGCTGTTTAACTTGTGGTTTTTTGGTTGAAGGCTTTGACGTTAAGGTTTGTTTACATCAGTTACCAAACTTAATACGTGGTAGAAACTTTTTGCAGATGCCGGAAGCGTCTCAATGAACTTCCAAGAAGAATTTCAGTTGAATATCTTTCTACCGTTAAAGGCTTTGCGTTAACCCAAGAACCTTTTTTCAGAACTCTTCTCTTTGCTAGCGCCAAGTTTACTTTAAGTACGAATTCTCACTGCAGGGTTGAGCAAAACCTATAAGATTATGTATTACCTTTTTTATCAATTTTTGCCCTCTGAAGTTGGACAACTAGTTAATGCAGTGCGACTTTTAGAATTTCATTGCGTTTTGGGAGCATCCTTTGTAGCTTCAACGTCTGTTTTTCTGACATCACGTTTTTATCAAGCATAAACTTTTAGAGAAGCAACTTATGAAGGAGCAGATTCAAATACCTTTCAACTTAGGCCGTACTATGTTTGGAGTAGTTGATGAGTCTGGCTTACTGCAGTATGGTCAGGTTTTCATTCAGTACACGAGCGATGTAGAGATGAAAACACCTGGCAAAAATGCTGCAAAAGAAATTTTAAAGGGTGGGCCTGTAAAACGTTTAGATCTATCGCGTAGATTTGTTTCACTACATGGTTTATGAATCATGTTTTTCGTGATCAGTTTCTACTCTGGAAGGGGAGGCTTATTCACTGTTGAAGACCTTCTAACTCATTATAATAGTCGCAAATTGTTTAAGGGAAAGTGTTAATTACGAAAAACCCGTCTGTTGTAGCTGGCGACGTGAGGGTTTTTACTGCTATTGACGTTCCTGAGCTGAGACATTTAGTTGACGTTGTAGTTTTTCCTCAGTCAGGTCCTCGACCACATCCGGATGAGATGGCAGGTACTTTACGCATTTTTAAAATAATAGCGGCCTCAGAAATATTAATTATTGTCTGGAAAATTTCTCTACTTGAGGTTCTGATCTCGATGGAGATGAGTACAGCATTATTTGGGATCAGGAATTATTCTTTGATCATAATGAAGAGCCCTTAGATTTTACGAAGGATAGCCGAAAAGCGCAAGATATTCCGCAGGATCAAGTGGTATGGTCCGTTCAGTATTATACGAAGTCACAAAGAAGAATTTGGCAGCATTAATTGTGTATAGAGGTTTTTAGTAGCATTAGCGTAAAGATTTATTGAACAGAATCTGTTGATGAAATTGCCACTGCTGTGCATTTTTGCTTCTGTTTTTATCGTGGAATTAAAAATATCGGGTGTCTCTTTGAGAGTATGCTTTTATGTTTTTTCGGAGTAATTTCTTCTGGAAAGAAGTCATATTCCAACCTTTTTGGTCCAGTTTAGGTTGCTGAGATGAGGAATTTTTTTGTCGAGTATATCAAGCAGGACTCTATTGGTACTATTTCAAACGCCTTTCTCGTCAATGCTGATTTGTACGGCATCAAAAGCGAGGTGTATTCCTTTGAATCAAACGTGTTTTTTAATTTCTAATAAATTTCAGAAATATGAAAGTTTTTTAAAGTTATATTGGCCGTAAAATGTCTGATTGAGTAATGTTTCTCGTCTGATGAATGTATCTTATTTTAGTTTCCTTCACTCGCAGTTTAGAGGTGTTCTGCCCATATATTTTTTTTGAACTTTCTTCATTCTTAGCCAGTTTCCAGGTGTGTAAAAACATTGCTCGTAAACATTCGAAGTCTGTTGACTTTCCCAAAACCGGTTCTCCGCCTGATCCTTTAGTCAAAACGTGGAAGAAAACTGAAAATGATGTCTCTATTCCTCCAGAAAAGCCTGAACGTTGGCCGGACTTCATGTGTAAAAACCATGAACCATTTTATGCGTCTAGAAGACTGGTTGGACAGCTTTTTAGGTATTACTGTTCCATCGCTTTTATTCAGGTGCAGTGCTTTATACTCCATAATTTATCAGCATATTGATGCTTTTGAAAGTAGCGGTTCTGCCGTTAAATTTTTTTGTCCACGGCAGTGAACTTCTCAGTTGTAGGACGTTTTTCTGTAGTACCCCACATTGTTCCTCGCAACAAAGGTTTGATTTTACTGATGTAGGAGAATCAAAGCCGTAGATGACGTACTGACGTTAACTATGGTGTCTGAAGGACTAGCGAGTATTTCTATTGATGTGACTTTGGTATGGCCGGGATACGAGAAGTTCCTGGATGTCGCTGAGCGAGATTATGTCGCATACAGCACCTACATTACGGCTAGTTTCCATTTCTGAGTTTCACTTTTGGAATGTAATCCGGAAGGGTTTGCGAGTTGATCTGCGTCCATAAAGCGGTATAATTTTTGGCAGATTGTCCCACTTCACTAATAGATGTGCGTTTAGTCATTAATGGACAATTACGGCATTGAGGACGAAGGTCAGTTGTATTCCGGTTGCATTACTGTATTACGAAATCGACTTAGTGAGAAGGATAATGATGACATGTCACTGTACAATACGAATTATATGATTGAAAAAAAAGTGAATGATATTTTCAGGGTGTAAGTCTTGATGCGTTTTGCTTAAAAGTTGCTTATATTATTAAGTCTATATTTTTAGTTCCTATTTAGCCCCTAGGTTTTGTAAGTTGATAGGCTGAGAAAATCACGAAAAATAGGTCTAGCTTATAACGTGTGAACAGTGAGGGAGATTCACGGACGTGCACCATTTAGAACTGTTTTAAATGACTTTTATTTCGTGAACTAAATGCATTAACATATAGCTTTTTCCACATTTATGCTATAAGAAACAGTTTTTGTAGTCGATTATGTCATCTTGAGCTTCTAAGACCGATAGTCTAAGATTGACTGGGGAGATCCGGAGGGTGCAAATTAGTGTTGATCAAGAAAAGTGATTTTTGAAATGAGAGAAGTCCAATGCGACGAAGTAAATTATATATGTATGCTGCTCCTATGAAAAGAAAATGATTTTTTTAAGCTTTCGGAAACTGTTTTTCAAAGAGTTTGGCGGTTTTGAAGCCTGTACAACTCCACTGAGTTCTAAAGAGTTTCCTTCTTCTGACCAGGACCTTCGTCGTCTATGTGAAGAATCTAACGATGACATGAAAGCGAAAGCTTCAGCTTATTATTTAATCTGTTATGGTAAGAATTACGAAGCATCCTGGTTTTCCATAATTTGGCATTAAAGTGTTTTGGAAATGGCTGTGTGATTGGAATCCTATGGTTTTCAAGAGCGTGCTACGCGAACGAATGGAAAGCGAATATTGTCCTTCCCTTGGCTAGTTTGGGATATCCTTGCACAGATTAAATTAAGTAAGCAGGATCCAAAATCTATCACTGTCGATCCTCTCTCTGCTTTGGTTACTAAGGTGGGTTTCCGAGCTTTTTTTGAAAGTCATGATGTTTAGATTTTTTGCCTTGCTATTAGTCCTCACTTACTATATTTTACAAAACAATCGTGTTTTTGGGTTTCAAAGAATGTATCAACTTTTTGTAGTTTATGGATGATTACTGTGCTAAGCATGAGAGCTCAATGAGAGAGCTGATAAGGGAGTTAACCACTAATATTTCTGGTTCAGATGCCATACTTCGGTACTGCAGAAAATATGAAGGTGGGCGAAGTTTGACAACCTTTTGTTACTGACACTTAACAAAATTCAATTCCAAAGACTTATTAAATGGCTCAAATTCAACGTTTTCGACCCGAAAATGTTGGTATTAGCAAAGCATTGTTGATTTCCCACTGATAGGGGGAGGGGGTGTGAAATCCAACACAGAATACCTTTCTGAACTGTTTGAAGTCTGTAAACATACCGTAAGGTAAGGTTTTGAGGACGTATGTTAAATGAGGAAAGTATTCAAATTTTATTTGAAACCTCCACAGTTGCATTTTTGCCGTGTGGCGTGGTTTTTTTTAGAACGTGATGTCAAAAAAACAGAAGCAAACTAAACAATAAAGAGTTTTTTTTGCAATTTAAAATAATTTCAGCAAAAATTTTTTAATTAACCAATGGTCTTGGAAATGCTTCAAAATTTCTAGCTGGTAACAAGAATTAACGTTTATCTACCATGAATCATAATAACTGCACATGAGATATTACTCTCTTTTTCTTATTTCTATACATATATTTCGTATTTCAGAATCTCTAAAATTCTTTTCAACTGGTGTAGTCTGAGAACGGATTTAAAAAACGGAAGAGGAGCTGGAAAAGTGGATTTCTTGCCAAGTTATCTTTCCTTAAAGTTGCGAGATCTGCCGCTTTGATGTTCAGCATGCTTGTTTAGCTTGACTTGTAGTTTAACTCAGCCTTAACAAAAGTTAACTCTTTTTGATTTCTTGAATTTCTCGTATTTTTAAAGTAAATAAGCATTTTATAATTAATTGGTTAGGTGGATATAGCAAAAGAAAGTATTCGGATGAAACTGACGAGAAAAGCGTTTTTATTATCTTTTGAAAAAAGCATTTTCTTTTCCAGATTCTGCTTTCGCAACAAGATCACTAATTACACCTCAAAGAGAGAAGTAAATTGGGTATTAACCCGCTGTTTTTACAATGATCGCTTGCACTTTTTGGTATTAAAACCTTAGCTATTTCTGACAAAGTGGAAAACCGTCATCAAAGACCAGTATATCTCAATTGTTACAAAGTTTTTCCAGAAAATTATATTTTACTCATAAGTACTTGCGATTTGTTACTTTGCAACAGTTAGTTAGTAGCGTGGTTTATTGTGACATCAGGTTTAGAGAACATTGTTTTTTCGCTCATAAATCGTGCGTAGCACTAAAAAATTTGGGCTTTGAAGGAAGCCAAAAGTTTCGTTTATATTTGTAATTTAGTGGTCATGTCTAATTGATTTATGCATGACGCTGTAACAGTTCATCGGATGTTTACAACTAATTGCAAGGTAAAAAAGATAATTTACTTTTCTGATAGAGTTATCTTGCAGCACAGGATCAAAGAGAAATTTGGCAGTGTTTATTCCATGGAGCTGTTTTTTGTGTCAATGCAGATTGACATTTTTGGCTACTGCACGAACAGTATCGGTGTCTGAGGCACTCTAAAAAGCTTCGTTGCTTAAACCATTCTTCAAACTTGTTAAGGTCAAATATTGTGGTTCAATCGTTACACAATAAGAAATCGCAAGTACTTCTACATGAAATATAACTGTCCCAAACAATTATGTGCAGGCTGAGTCGTATCAGTTTTTGATACTGGTTTTACACGCCTTTTAGAAGTAGCTAAGGTTGGTTTTGCCGCCGGGAAATGCATGTGGTTAGTGTAAAAACAGTGGATTATCATCCATATTCTATTTCTTTTCATAGTGTGACTCAAGACCTCGTCGCGAAAATGCCACTAGTTTATGACGTTCTAGAGTGGAAGAAATTTTGGAATGCCTTTTTAAAGAAGTTTAGGAGGACGATTTTTTTTTTTGTAATTTTTATTTTAACATTCCATTTTGCTATATTTACCTGGTTATGTAACAATACTAAAAGGCTTAATATTTATTCAAAAGGTATGGAAAACTTAATAAACCAAAGAGTGTTGAATTTTGTCAAGATTGTGTCGAATTACTAAAACACGGATTTTGAATAGCATCAGTCAAATTTTGCAACTTTGAGAGGAAATGACTTGATAAGAGATCTGTTTTTCCAATTTTTCCGTCTTTCATATTTGTACACGACTCTACTAATTAGCAAAATTTTAAAAAATTCTGAAATATCAAATTAAAAAAGCGTGCAGTTTGACATAAAATACCTTAGTTTTTTATTTATTTATGTAGGTTTGGATAGGATTATATTTATCGTTTGTGAGTGGGCTGAGCATCATGCTTTGTTCACTGGAAGCTTTAATCCTACCAAGCTGAGCCTACTGCTAATACAGTTTTTGGTTGGCCATTACGTTACTGACAGTTACATGGCTAATGATTGCTTGATAGGACAGGTAACGAAATTTTCTTGTATAGTTTTTGCCTTATTTGCTTGAAAAGAACGATAGAAAGTTGAAGTTTTATGATTTCGTTTGTGCCGTAAAATACTGAATCAGCTTTTTTTCAATATCTTGATGTTTGCAGGTTGATAAAAATAGTGCAAATGATGTTGTTCAGCTTAAAAATATGGTCGGAGGCATTGGGAAACTATTCGTACAGTTTTTGCAATTTCTTAGTTCTAGGAGTTTCGAAAATTTGAATTACATAGATTTTAACAGCCCAAATCTCGATTATTGTTCGAAACTGATTCGTGGTCAGTGGCTGGAATTGCATGAGGTTCTTAAAATTTCTTATTGGATTTTAAGATAACTGCTGTGATTAGAGCGAGTTGTTTTCTTTAGGGGTTTCTCAAACTTTATTCATTTTTGTAATTAAGTATTTATCATTTGAAAAGGACTGGGGCATAGGGAGGAATTTTTTTTTATTGTAATCCTTGGTAGTGAAATTTTGGCCGTTCTTGCTCTACCTGCAGATAATGGCCGTTATCTTAATGGAGGGGTGGATCTCGTCACTGAATTGTGAATTTTTTCGCCAGAGATATCTTTTCGCTGTTAATGTAGTTGATTTAGGTACTAGGTGTACGTTAAGTTTTGTAGTTTTTTCAACGCGTACGATTGCAGTGGCATGTTTAGCCTCATATATTGGCTTTGCTATCTGTTATCGGTGAAAAACTTTTGGACGGTGTAACAAAAGAAAAGCTATTTTGAGAGATTAATTTTGTGGGTTTAAGAATCTCTAAAACGTAAAATAGAGGCAGTCAAATTATGGTTTGTGGACTCATGTGGCAAAGAAAAACTGGGTTAACAATGAGGTTTCTGTAATTCAGCCTTGTTTTTCTAGAATTCTACAGCATGAATTTAATTTGATGGCTAGTCCTTCCGTTACGTCTTTTTAACTTTTTTGCGGGTGTTAGTTACTTCGAAAAAAAAGAACGGTCGATGTATACCAAAGGATTGTTTCTTGTTGGGGAAAAGGTGTAAAGAGATTGAAGATGGGTTGAAGATAAGAGCAGATGATAAGTTATGAAGACAGTGACAAACTAAAAAGTTTCGTGTTTGGAAAATATAGTCATTTGGCGATGATTTGATTGCGAAGTGAACAAGTTTTTGAGAAAGTCCTAACTTTTTTGCCTTTTTTATAATATTGTTTATGCAACATCATCTTTGAACTACCATTATAGTCAAATTTGAAGGCAAATCTTTTATTCTTTGACATATTGACAGTTTCCATTGAGTAGTTGAAGATTTTTAAAGGTGGCGTTGAAATCATTCTACGGGCTAATGTTAAAAGGCTGTTTCGATGAATTGCCTTTGGCTGAGTGCAGGCGACCGGAAGTGAGTGGCTAAATTTTGAATATTTATTAATTTTGCTCCTCATTTGGTTAACTTTTTTTCAAGTCTTTTGCATTTGATTTTTTCTGGGAGTTTTATCAGGCTATCAGCGTTACTGAAATGGACCCATTTGTGATTGAGATTCCTGATGAGATCGAATTACCTGAAAGAGACTTGACAGAAAAAATGATGAACTATTCTGGAGTTGATGACCTTCACTTACGAAGGGCTCCTGGTCGTAGAGGTAGGTAGTCTGTTAGCATTTTTGAGGTTTCTATTATTGGACGTGGCACCGATGTTGCTACGCAGTAACCCATGTTTAGATTATATTCATTTGGGCAAAATTTGTTTTAATAGTTTTTTGTGTTGCGGTAGTAGTGAGGTATTCATTGTAGGAAGAGTGATTCTATCTGCAAGAGGCTCTTTAGAAAGTTTACGGCGTTTGAGGGACCTTGTAACTGTGGAGTCAATCACGAATTGCCATATGAGTGACGAAGAAAAAAGTGACATGATGGTGCGTCTCGTTTACGAAAGGATTTTACAGCTGTGCCAGTAGCCTGCGCATCATTCTGCAGTTAAAATCTTCAATTAACTTAGTGCTGTGATCTCCTCCTCTTTTCATGATAAGTGAAATATTTGTTTCGTTTCCTCAACCAGTATCACTTTACTCCTTATTGCTTAAACTGGATGGGGACCATTTTGAAGGTAAATGATATTATGCTATCATTTCCTGTTAGATTTTAGAACCTCTTTTTTTCCTCGGCTTGTGAACTTTTGGTCTTAAGTACTTGAGCTCTCTTACTGTAATGACCACCGTCTTTAATTTGATCTCCTTTTCAAATTGTTGTTTGCAAATGATGGTAGGTGCTTTTTCAAGTGATGTGAGGAACACATTTTAGAGTGATTCAAAACCTTTTTCCATTTTTTTGGTCATCTCTTTGCACGCACATTCTGACCGGTTTTCGTACAAAAGGGGTTTTTTCGACATAGAGGTTGTTCTTGTTCTGGACTTCTGACAAATTTCCCTTAATGCTGAGAAAAAATTTTGTCATTTCTTAGCATTCTGAAAGCAGATTTGATAGATGCAGCAGTTCCAGGTTAGCAGCATATTGCTTTTGATTTAAAACTGTGAACGGGTGGGGCTCGGGGAGATTATATTATAAATCTCGCTTTTTTTCTAGTGCTGCTCTCTTTTTTTTTTTTTTTT